ATAATGGATCCATCACATATTAATGCTACAAGTGTTAGTAATAATGCTACAACTTCTTCTAGTTTTGAATGTGTGAAGATTGTAGATATTTGTGGTAATATACAAATTTTCCAATCAACTTTTGAAGAGTTGATGACTTCTAAATGTTTTGGTTTCTGTTTGGGCTTGGAGAATATTTTGGAGAAACAAAAACCTGTTATAGGTGCAAACGCAGCTATTAATCAAGATTTAACAAAAGAGGAAGTTGAAGCTACAATGGATATGGCAAATTTTCAGATTGATAGTGCATGCTTTTTAGCTGGCATTGCTTTTTGCGTATCAGACAATATAATTTACTATATGAACATGCAGGAAAAGGAATCGAATGCTGCAGTGACCACAAAACTAAAGTGTCAATACCTGCATATGATACTTAAAGCAAAAGAAAATACTTTGCTGATATTTGATGCTAAGGAACAATTAAAAACTTTACGTAAACTTCTGCCAGATTTAGGAGAAATTTGTGCTGAGTTCGGAGATCCAAAAGTAGCAAATTGGCTACTTCAACCAGATAAAACAGTAACTTTCAAACAAATGGTAAATCAATTGGTAATAAATAAAATATTGTAAATAATATAACATTTCAATCTTTAAAAAGGTTCATCAATTTGCTCCGGAATGCACTGGATTAATTGGTCTGTGTGGAAATAGCGGGAGGGGAACAAAAAGCTATGGCTTAGATAAATATAATGGTATATCGGCCAAAGTTAGGTAATGTTTTCATTTCTATTATTATTTTGCGACTAGTTGAGTTAGTGCACTTGTTGAGCACTTTTACTCTCTATATAAAATATGTTTTACATAAGTTTTTCTATTAAAAAAATTGACTACAATAATCAATTGTACTTGATTTCGGATTAATCTCTATACTTTCAAATACGGAGCATTGATGATAAAAATTTTGCTTTGCTTTCTTTCATATTTATTTTATATTTTTGTATCAAAAAGTAATGTATACCTAGTAATATTAATATTAATGGATAGTAATAATAGTAATATTAATGGATATAATCTAATTAAAATTTAATCTGTTTTTATATACATTATTTATTTTTTTAAAATTTGTAAACCTCTTATATGCATTTCAGATCTTCAATAGAAGCCTGTTGCACTATCCATATTTTAAAAGAGCAAATTGAAAAATTGAAGAAAATCGGAAACGGTTCTTTACATCAATTTTTTTTAAGTAAATTTATTGTTTAATTAGTATTCCAATGGAAAGTTTCTTAATTTTTAAATTATTTATTACAGAAACTGAAATGCCACTGCAGCTTTCACTTTGCAACATGGAAACGATTGGTTTTCCTACAAGTGAGTCTGAACTGCACATGTTAATAAAAAAATTGTTGTGTCTTCAGAGAAAATTGGAAACAACAATATATGAAACGCATGGCAGGCGATTTAATCTTACTTCATCTTCGGAGGTGGCGAAAGTAAGTTTTAAATAAATATCTATATTTATATAGTGTATTGTATGCTTTCCGAAATCAAACTTTAACTGCTTTATAGATTATTTGTATGCAAAGACAGTAGATAATGAAAGTATATATTTATTTATTTATTGTATTAGATTGTGTCCATCTAATACATTTATTTTTTTTTCCATATCTGATTTTTCCATACTGATATTTCAATTTAAATGTTTGCACCGGAGATTTAGGCCTTAAATAGAGTAACATTGCGTTAGCACGTGTTTTCTGAACATCATCAAAACATAATAAAAAGATTTACTTGAATTTATTCAACGACATAGTCTTGTATTTATTTTTGTGCATAAACTTACAGCCTCTCAAATTCCTTCGTAACCAATTATTGGTTACAAAGCCATACCCACATATCGCTACATAGTAATACACTGGACATAGTCATGGTTATACCTTTTAGTTTTAAGATTCGTGATATATATACTCCCATAAATACGAGGGCGGCTTGATAAGTCAGTGACTTTTTGAATTTTTCGCGCAGTGAAAAAAATAGAATTTCGTGTGCTGATTAAGCATTACGATCCGAAATCCATGAATTGGGATATGAACTGCTATCCCATCCAGCATATTCTCTAGATTTAGCCCCCTGCGACTATTTTCTGTTTCCAAACCTAAAGAAATGGCTGGGCAGTAAGAGATTTGAGTCGAATGAAGAAGTCATTACCGAAACAAACGCGTATTTTGGGAGCTTTGAGAAAACCTATTATTTGGAGGGAATAAGAAAATTAGAAAAACGCTGGACTAAATGTATCGAGCTAAAAGGTGATTATGTAGAAAAATAAAAAGTTTATTTGCCGAAGAAAATTTGTTTTATTCAAAAAGTCACTGACTTATCAAACCGCCCTCGTAGTAAACTAAATGGAATTGACTATTACAGTTTTATTGGAAGCTTTCATATTTTCAATTTCCTTGATTTTTAATTCTGTTCTTCTGTAAATAATCAAATTCATTTTAAATTTTTAAGTACATTTTACCTCATTTTAATCGATATTAGGCATTATACATATTTATACACTGTTGTTTAAACTAGTAAATAATTGTTCTAAGTAGATCTCACGTCTCTCCCGCCAATTTTAATTTCGTTAAATTTAGTTACTGTTGTTATAACACATATAATTGTCACGTTTTTGGAGAATCTTTTTCAGCCTAGTGTGGTATGCTGATGAGACTAAGCGGCACTTGATCGTTGCTGACAAGTGGTTCCCAAACATAGAACTAACCGAAACTGATGTGTTTTATATAATCATTTTATTTAGTAGAGAGATTTTGAAAAGTAGTAGACCCTAACAACAAAAATTAGTTTTTATATTATTTTAATTAATTGAATTTTTGGATGATTATACTGCTGCTTCGAGTATAGCCAAATACCCATCATCAGTGCTCTTGAAATTGTTTCTTATATTAAATTATTCTTAAATAGTTTATTTTTAAGATTGCTAATACTATGCGTTGAACTCGTACCCTACCAAATTCGAAGCTTACAGTCAGCGTTCATTAGCCAACTGACCCAAAGCCGTACTTGACTTTTAAGTTCTCACATTTTTCTGGAGTTTTGTTACTTTTAGTTTTAGAATAATTTAATTAATTAATTATATTTATTATTTATTAAAACAAATTACTAATATATTTTTATTATACATTACAAAAGGTGCTTGGATTACATCTCAAATCTGGTAAACGTATTACCACATCAAAGCAAATTTTAGAGAAAATAGAATCACCTATTTCTAAACTAATAATTAACTACAGAAAAGTAAATAGTATCTTCACGAATAATATTCTACCACTATCGGAGTGTGTTAAGAACAATAGGTTCGTGTTGATGTTGAAGTTGATGATGTATTCTGGAAAATAAATAATTTAATTTCAGAATATACGGTGAAAGTAACACATTTACTTCCACTGGACGCATATCAATGGTGGAACCAAATTTACAAAATGTTGCTAAGAACTTTGAAGTATATACAGGTGAGCAAGCATAATATTTTTATAAAAGTTGAAACTGTATTGTATTTTTTATGAATTAATAGGAGAAGATAGTGATAATTTGGAAATATCTTGTCGTCGTGCATTTTACCCAACAGATCCAAAGCGCTGGCTTATATCTATTGATTTTTGTCAACTAGAGATGCGCATATTAGCGCATTTATCGAAGGTTCGTGGTATTCCAGAAGTACTCACTGCTATTAATATACAATTTAATTTTTTGCATTCTTCTTTGAACAGGACCCTGCATTATTAGAAGTTATGCGTACGAAAAAGGATATTTTTACTGCTATAGCCGCAAGTTGGTATAAAGTATCCGATGATAATGTAACAGACCAATTAAGAAATGATACCAAGAAAATATGTTACGGCATTGTGTATGGCATGGGTATGTGTAGTTTAGCAGATTCTCTTAAATGCACTGAAGAACAGGCCAATTTGCTCTCAAGAGAATTTCATGCTGCATATCCTTATATTAGGTATAATTTCTACTTACAAAAACTATGTAAAATTTATTTTCAACATGTATATATATAATCTACTTTTTTTCGTATTATTTTTTGATATAGCTTAAAACCTCATATATTTATATATATATATATTTAAGTAGTAAGTTTTTATTTTATATCTATATTTTTTTGTGTAGTAGATAGTTCACTAATTTTGTCTTTGTCCTATATAATATTCCCAAAACCGCACTAAATTTTCGTTTTAATATATTTCTATTATTGTTATTATATTAAATAATATTTTTTAATAGAACTTATGCAGAGAAAATTGTAAGATTTGCACGAATCAATGGTTATATTGAGACTATAACTGGGCGTCGACGTTATGTGGAAAACATCAACAGTGCTGATATAAGAGCAAAAAGTAAGTTGCACTTTTTAAAAATATTAACTACTCTACAGTAGACAACTTATTACAGCGCAAGCTGAGCGTCGTGCCATTAATGCAAGTATTCAGGGCTCTGCGGCTGATATAGTGAAAAGAGCTATTTTGCTTACGGAGAAAAATATACAAAAATATAGTTCAGATTTGGGTATTGAAGAGAATTCAGTAAGATTAGTTTTGCATGTGCATGACGAATTAATTTTCGAAGTACCAAAAGACAAAGCAAAACACATCGCTAAAGTCCTAAGCACAACAATGGAAAAATGCGTGCAATTAAAAATACCACTTAAAGTAAAGGTTAAGATAGGAAAAAGCTGGGGGGATTTAAAGTAACCTTTTAAATGTATTGATATTTATTGTAATTGTAACTAATCATAAAAAAAACATTTGTATTATATCTACATAAAATATAATATATTATAATATAAAAAAAAATATAATATATAATAAAATATTGTATATAAAAATATATAATATATAAAAAAATATAATATATAATTATATATAATATAAATAAAATATAATATATAAGAAAATATAAAATATAATAAAATATAATATATAATTAAATATAAAATATAACAAAACAAATATTATATATTAGTCAATATAATATATATAAATATATTATACAATTTTAAGATAGGTTCTCTTTTTCCGCCCATTCAGTCCATGAACCAGCATAAGCTTTAGCGCTATAAATAGACAATTAAAAATATTTGTATATTTCTAAGATTTTACATTCGAAGTAATATGTATAACTTACTTTTTGAAACCATGAGATTGTGCTAAGTCAGTGGCACGTTGTGCCCGGCCACCTGCTTGACATGAGAAGATTAACACTGTCTCTTCGGTTGGTTTGTCACGATTGAATGCTGTTTTAAAATCATTTTCAGACATCTTAAATGCTGCCTCTAATTCAGACACTAATCAAAGAAAAAAAAGAAAATAATTAAAACCAAATTTTATATAAAATTGACAAACAAAATCAGTAATTTTAGTTTTTATAAAATGCAATAGATATATTCGAGGTTTATGAGAAAGAAATAATATAACATTATTGTATTAAATAATTAATATATTAATAACAAAAATCAATTTTATTGCAGTTAAATTGATTAGAAAAAAATAAACTATTTTTATAATGACTAATTTTATCGTATGTTATCGAAATTAAACAAATTTCGGTGCTTTTTTAGGTTTAAATAATTTGACAATCTTATCAAGTTAGAAAGCTCATGAATAACATAACGTTAGAGGTGGTATGCATTTATCGTTAAAAAGTAAAATCTATATCATGAAATTGTTTTTTTTGATAACAATTGACAGATGGTTAAACGTTTAAAATAAATACCAACTTGGTTGTTTTATTACCAATATATATATTTATATATAAGTGATATATGAATATGAGTAAAACTCTTTTCTTTTGAAAATATGTAATATTAGTATACATTTTTGTATCTATTCAGTTTCTTTTTATATGACTAACAAATTTTATGTGACCAACCATATTGATTACTAAGACTTATTAGAAACAATTTTTTTTTATGGTAAACTTTGTTTCTTGCAGTTTTTCCTTTTAATTTAAAACATAAATTCAGTTTACTTATTTCCAAGAACAGAACAAAATGAAAAGAAAACTTTATCAAAAAGAAAATAAGTTAGTTTTAGTTATATTGAATTTAAATAGTATTTACATACAATTATTGTTAATATATTGCTGAATGTTTTACAAACTCAAGCGTCACAGTTCCAATTTCTCGGTCACACCTATTTAACAGCAAATTTTAGTAAAGAATAAGTATTTTAAACAACTTTTTCCACTATACTATATATAAATATAGCTTAATTCTCGAGACATTGGGTTTCAAAGTTATTTTTAGTTGTGTATGTGTGTTTTTGTTGTTATAATCAATGTAAATAATTAACAATTTTAAACTTCGATATCTAGAAAAGTTAGCTATATCTTCATATAGTATAGTAGAAAAATTTGTTCCAAATAACTTTGAGAGATAAAGGTATAGACATGTCTGAGAAATCGGAACCGCATCATTAAAGCCATTAAGTGGCTATATTAAAAACAAAACCAATCTATTAAAATTCTTTAACACTAGTGTCTCATTCATTTACCAAAGTATGAAATATCTGGTACTATATGTAATTCTTATCTGATTTGTTTAAGAATAACTCTTATGAAAATTATATGTGAATTGGTAGCTATATGTAAAAATATGTAAACAATTGCTTTATTATTTTATATAATTTTGTAATATTTTGTAATTTTGTAATAGATTGATTTGTAATATATTGTATATAAAAAATATATAAGATTTCATCTTAGCCATTAGTTAAAATGGTAGCTGTATAAAAACTTTAACCGATTTATATTATAAAAACCAAGTACATATAAATTAAATGCATTATGATTTGTATTATATGCTAGTTACAAATATTGAAGATATATTAGACTATTTATATTTAAGCCGATATAAAAACAGGCATGAGTGAAATATTTTTCTCACTTATTAGAATTTGCATTTGCTTGCAGAACTTAAATATTCATTATAAACTTTTGGTCAATTGTATGTTTGAAGAATATATTTGATATAAATAAATTTTGTTTAAAGAATTTATTGATGTACTAAAAATTCAGATATTAATTATTTATAATGAAACCTAGAATTTATTGCAATATATGTAAGTCCAGAAATTGATTAATTTTATTCATAGCAATGAAAATATGTATTGTGATTTATAAATATATGTTATAGAATAGTTAGGAAATTAGACTAAAATGTATACATAGAATGGAACTATGGTATTTTAAATATGTAATATAAAGTTAAGATGTGTAGTAATTTTACGGGTATTAAAAATGTGTATTATATTAAATGCAGATAAAAAGAATTATTTAAAATGAGTATATAAAACAATTTGGTGATGAGAGATATTTCATTTTTATAAAAAAACACATTTTGATTGTTATTTTAATTTGTCATTTGAAATATCTTCCCCATGTTTCAACCTTAGACTGACTATTTGTGATAAAATGTAAAACCAAACATATTGATATTTGATACTATCTTGAAAGAACACAAATTATATCTACTCGCATGCTCAAATTACAAGTTCTCAATGTAAAAAGTAAAATAAAATAATGGTATTATTATTTATTTATTTATAAATGCATTAAATGTATTGTTAAGGTATTTGTTTATTTCTCAGAAGTGTTCGCCATGCGTGCCGTAAGAGTGAACTTAGTTTCTGTTATATATTTTCTGTATATAAAAAAATTAATATATATTGCGTGTTGGCTTATTTATATATAATTTTATGTTTACATAATGAAAACGTTTTCAATCAATATTTCTCTTATTTATATATTTATGTATAAATAAGTACTAGCCACATGCGAGAATTAAATTTGACCACTTAAGGGCAAAGGTAAAAATAGTTATTAAATTTAAAAGGACTTTCTCATAATAAAAACAGTAATTTAAATTACTATTATAGATAAATTTATTCAATACTATTTCAAATAAAAATAAAAAAACAAATTTGAATGCAGAATTTTAAACTCATCTACTCCTAGCTTGAATTTAATATATATATATAAAATTGTATATACACAGAAATATGTGTTAATTAGTTATTTTTAGCAAAACCTTTTTTTAAATTTACCTTTAAAATTTTCCAGTTGTTATCTACTTATTTAAAAATTGTTATCACAAATACTAATATTAATAAAATGTTACAAATCATACGAACAGTGTTTTATTATCTATACCACAATTGTTGAATTTCAATGGTAATACATTATGTTCCAGATAATTCCGAAGCATAATTTTCTGTGCAATGAATAGAAATTCAATAAATTAAATGTTTTTAATAAGTTTAAATTACAAATGTTAATACTTTGGGCCTTACTGTCACAGACGCTTATGTCGCTTCAAACCAAAGGAGTTTCAACCAGCAAGGAGATGATTAGCTCAGATCTTTATGCTCACTTTAGATAAGTAACATTACTTGTTATATATTAATTAAAAAACCTCTTGTTAGTCAATATGACTAGATGTTGTTAATTT